CGAGAAAGAATACCCTTTTTCATGCATGACAATACCTTACTGGCCTTAGCCACTGCTGATCGACATTGCAAAGAGTTAAATCCTGTTGAAATACATAGGCTTCATTATCTTGGAAAAGCTCACATGCTGAAGGCAATCAGGAGAATGGCATGAACCCAGTTTGAAGGGGAGCTTCTTCTCCCATTGATCGGCATGGATTTCCAGGTGGCCAGCAGGGACTCTGTGGCTGTGAAGCTGACTCACAGCCCCAGGGTCCCTGCTGGGGCTCACGCCTCTCCCCGGTGGCCGCCTCCACTGAGGCAGACCCCGAAGGAGAGAACTCTTTGGGCAGTTGAGAGCCTAGCCTTGCAGCCCTCGGGTAGGGGAACAGTGATTATGGCTCCTTTAGGAGTAGGTTAGGGTGATCAGTACTCCAGAAGATATCCCCACCAACATTAGGGACCCGTCCCTGGAGTTCCGGTGCGAAGCTCTGTGACTTTATTGTAGTGATTAATTTTGTGTTTTTTAGCTGTTGCCTTGTAGCCTAATTGCCAGGGTGTCTCTCTGCTGTACTGTGACTTTGTGATTACAGTGATTAATTGTGTGTTTTTTGTTTTCTGTGACTTAATTTAAATAAAAATTTAATAAAACAAAAGAAACCATAATGGATCGTCCATGTCCTCCTCACATTCTCCCCTCAAACAAAGTGACAGAGGAAACTAGTAGCTGTCATGTTGCTGCTGGTAGTACCACTACTAGCTCCTCCACCAGTACTAGTGTTAAGAGGCAGAGCACAGGTAGTGGTACACTTGCTTCCTCTTCAACTCACCTGAAGTGAAGGCAAATGAAACAGCAGGAGCTGCTAGTGCAACCACCCTTCCTGCCCCTAGAATGCCTACCTTCCCTCCCACCACCATCCCTGGGCAAATCTGCCACAACCACCCCACTACCACCACCACCACAACTCTCCCTGGGGGACCCTACACTGCTCTCTCTACCAGCCATTACTTGCTCTCACTTTGCTCTCTCTCCCTCACACACGCTCATTTGCTTGTTCACACACAAATTGCTATCTCTCTACACACTCGCTGCTCCTAAACTCACCACAAAGATGGTGTTACAGGGGTGGGATTATATAAGGTGCAGAAGTGTTGCATACTGGTAGTGCTCCCTGATTGGCTTCACTATCTGTGTAGTGAAAATATCACTTTTTAAATTGTATATATACTAAACTAACACTACTAATTAATAAATAAACCTAGACCACTTCTTTAAGATGAAGTGGTCTGGGTGCTGCTGTGGTCCACAATGCAATTTAAAACATTGCTGTTTAACCCCTTAAGGACCAAACTTCTGGAATAAAAGGGAATCATGGCATGTCACACATGTCATGTGTCCTTAAGGGGTTAAGAAAAAACACACAAATGTTTATTTTTCAAAATTAACGACATTCTAAACTGCCGAATGCCTGAAACGAATTACATGCTGAACTACCGAATTCCCGAAATGAATGCCCGAATGCCAAATGTCCAAACCGAATGCCATTCGGCAGTTCCGAACCATATGCCATTGGTCCGAATTGCCGAAGTAGAGAAAACATTTTACTTACCCGACTTTCCAAACTGACCAAACCAAATTTGCCCATGCACATCCCTAGAATAAACCATATCTCAGATTGGACAAAAGAAAGATAAGATTAAGATAGGCAAGACAACACAGACACTGGACAGAGGAAAATCAGAAAATAGTTTTACGGACAGATGAATCTAAATTTGAGGTGTTCGGATCACAAATAAGTACATTTATGAGAGGCAGACCAAATGAAAAGATGCTGGAGGATTGCTTGATGTCATATGTCAAGCTTAGTGGAGGTAATGTGATGATCTGGTAAAGCTTTGTTGGTGGTAAAGTAAGAGATTTATACAGGGCAAAAGGAACCTTGAAGAAAAATTGTTACGTCATTTTGCAATGTCATGGTGCTTCGGAGATACAGAATTAGGCTGAAGCAGAATGCAGAAGTCTAATGAGAAGCTTGATGCTTTGGACAGATAATGTAGAAGTGAATCGGATCTGTAATCCAAGAATCTGAAGCAGCTTTGGTTTTAGGGGCTGATGTGAGACATGTTTTGTTTTCCAAACCACACCAAAACAGTTTAAACTTATAAAGGATTCCTTTTGGATTTCTTGATTGATAAGCTGATTTTTCTCCCTGAAACATTAGAAGTATACAATTCATAGGGCAACACATTGGGACAACTGATAATGAGGTAATGAGTACCCTATACATAGATAGAACATATTACTGCACCTTAGAGTGCTTAGAGGCTTAACATACAAAAATAAACAGATACAGGTCAAGATCAAGGATTGGATAATATCGGATAAATAAGTAAAGCAGAGCCAAGGTCAAAGATTCCAGAAATCAGGGTAATCATAATACACAGAGCCAAGTCAATATCAGAAAAACACACAAATAGAGGAACATAATCTCAGGCAGCTGAGACCACGAAAGTGTGAGGGAGTGAGTTATTTATTAGTTTGCGTCACGAACGACACCAAAACATATGTGACCTGTGGGCGACGTGGAATAATAGGGTGCCCATATATTTACAAGGGTCATAATGTGCATTTAGGGATTTAACTTTGAGGTGTTCAGGGCCGGACCGGTCCACCGGGATTCTGGGAAATTTCCTGGTGGGCACTGTCTTTGCTGGCGGCCGCAGGGAGCTGGCTCCTGGCTGTTCTGGTGGCCGCAGGGGAAAGCTGGCTGTGCTAGCTCTGCTCCCCCGCCCTCGCGCGCTACTTAATGAGACCGGGGCCAGTATATGACATCATATTGCAGCCCCGGTCTCATTAAGCTGCTCGCTGGGGAGCAGAGACAGCACAGCCAGCACAGCACAGCCCTGCGGCCACCAGAACAGCAAGGAGCCAGCTCCCCCCTTACCCAGCTGTCTGCCGTGCACGACTCCCTGGCCGGTCGCCACAGGTAGCTATATTATGTGTCAGTCTGTCAGTGTATGTGTGTGTGTGTCTGTGTCATGTTGTGTGTGTGTCTGTCATGGTGTGTGTGTGTGTCTGTCATATGGTGTGTGTGTGTGTCATGGTGTGTGTCTCTCTGTCATGGTGTGTGTGTCTGTCTGTCATGGTGTGTGTTTGTGTTATGGTGTGTGTCTGTCATGGTATGTGTGTGTGTGTGTGTCTGTCATTGTGTGTGTGTGTCTGTCAAGGTGTGTGTGTGTCTGTCATGGTATGTGTGTGTGTAAAGGTGTGTGTGTGTGTCTGTCATGGCATGTGTGTGTCTGTCAAGGTATGTGTGTGTCTGTCATGGTATGTGTGTGTGTCTATTATCTGTCATGGTATATGTGTGTGTCTGTGTCTGTCATGGTGTATGTGTGTGTCTGTGTGTGTTTAAAAATAGTGTTTTTACTCACCTTTTTTCCCCCCACGCCGTGCTGCGGGGCTGGCATAGATTTGTTTCCAGGGCTGCTTTGTATCCCCAGTCCGGCCCTGGGCGTGTTCCCCATTATTAATGATGTCAGAGCAACATACGAAGTCATCGCACATGGCACCAACCATGCTGGGATGGTGCAATTCACCAAGAAGCCTGCAATGGCACCCAGACATCAGTGATGACATAATCGATGTTGCTTCTTGGAATTAATACAAAATGATGATTTAAGTGGATTGGCCTCATAGCTGATCCTGGGTGGGTGCATGAGGCACACAGGAGAGAGAGGGCATCAGCAGGGAGAGCAGCACTAGGCTCTGCCCCCTTTTTTTATCAGAAAGCAGCCTATCTCCAACCAGGTTACAGGATCCCCCCCTCTCTGGCCCAAGGCTAGCATTGCGGTGGGGGGAGGGGAATAAACTTATATTTTTTCTTCAGCTCCTAAAGCCGGTTATAGCCCTTAACCCCCCTCTACAGTCCCTAACATCCTACTACAATCCCTAACCCCTCCTTACTAAAGCCACTATCTCCCACTACAATATTTTTAGTCAAACAGCAGCCCCTAGTGCCTAACTGCAGCTCCTATACCTAGTATAGCGCCTAACCCCCCTACTACAGCCCCTTATGACCACTGCACCTTCTACCCCCCCACTGTAGCTCTTATATACAGTCACTACCCACCAAATGCAACCCTAATCCCCAATTATAGCCAATGTCTCTCCCACTACAAACCATAAACCCCCACTACAGTCCATAACCTCCCTACTGCAGCCCTTATAATCAAACATAAGCTTCTATTCCCCACTGCAGCCCTTATCCCTCCTACAGCCTTCAACCCCCCTACTACAGTCCCTCACCCCCACTAACAGCACCCATTCCGAGATTAGGTCCTGGATTTGCACCTAGCACTGGTAAGCTATATGGGCACAAATAATGCACTGGTAAACTATTTGGGCACAAAGATGGCACTGGTAAGCTATTTTGGAACAGATATGGTACTAAGAAGTTGGGCACAAGATGGCCTGATAAGCTTGTTGTTGGCACAGCTGGCACTTAAGGAAGATGGTGACATGTTACCTGGTGAAGTAAGGGGGACCAAAGACGTGGAGTGGTTTCCATAGAAAATTATGCTGTGAAAAAATGTTATGTTTGTGAAGGGGAGGCGTTATCGATATAATCGTGCCAACCCAGGGGCACCAAAAGTATTCTTGCACCCAGGCGTCAGTGACCCTAGGATCGGCCCTGATTGGCCTTTCTTTTTTAACATCATGCAGCATATATAACTAAATAATATGTATAACTAAGTAAACTGGTAAAATTTTACATTTTCAACAGTATCAGCAACCCAGTGTTTATCAGAAAAAAAATATTGTTTTGATAATAGAATATCTAAATCCAGTGGATAAAATAATAATGTAATCATTATAATATTTTTTTTTTTTGCAAGTAGCACTTATATGAAAGAGGATATACCATTTATAGTGACATTGAAATACAAATGCTGCACAATGAAATGTTAATGACATGTATCAGCCGAGTCTATTTAATGCCCTGATCCAATTGATATAATAGCATTGCTTCTGTTTACACTAATGTAAACAGTGTGTTGAAAAAGGCAATTCTTGCTGTATATAAATGAATGTTTCAACTGTTGAACCTATTTTCAGAGGAAAAGAGAAAGCACATGTCAGATAAGGGGCGGATGGAAAGGATGGAAATATATATAACATGATATGTACAACGCAAGGATCAGTAGAGCCTCTTCCTCTGGATATATATTTTCTTTTCTTCAGTGCAACAGAACCACTGCAGTGAATGGTAGCTTGGATATCGCTGTAAGAATACTGCATTTCATTAATCTGAATAGAATACGTGAAGACGGCCTGCTGCATTGAGGCTATTGATTGAGACTGATTGGAAGGTGCTGCAATGTGATGGATAACTAACTGCTGTCTGTTGCAGTAGGAAAGGAGGTGTTGCAATGTGCTTGATGCACTGAGAATATTTTAACACCCCTTGCATTCACTCTATTTAGAATTCATTGATTAAAACTGCTGCATTCATGAGATCATTAGATTAAAATACAAAACGCTGTACTGAGATCATTTCAAAGGATTAGGTCCACTGTAATGGCAGGACGTCACTAGCACAAACAGAAGGCATTGATGTGGACACCTTTCTAAAAAATATATATGTTTTCTTTGGACTCCTTTGTTGCACTTTCTTATTTTTTTGTTCTATGACCAGTCTAATTCCAACTAAGCAGCTGTTGCCTCTTTCATTGCTGGTTTCAAATAGGAAATAAGCTTAGTGGTGTAAATGTGTAATGCAAAAATATAACATTCAATAGGATTTAGGGACCATTTTTTGTTTGTTTGTTCAGTTAGATACCACAGTATTGTCACCACTTTTATGGATAGGTACTACTTTTGCAATCTTCGAAAGTTTGGGTATGTATCCAGACACCAGGGATTCATTGATTAGGGTGGTGACATGTTTAGCAATTGCCGGCGCACTGAGCTTCAGCAACATTGCTGGGATTTGATCTGGTCCACACTGGTTTTTTGTTTTAAATATGTTTATTGGTATCGTGTCTTGAGTTCACACATCAGACAGATTTTCATTAAAGCGAACAGTCGCCTACGCAGAGGCTTAAGTATCGGTTTGTAAGGGTAAATGCAGATTATCACCTGCGCAGAGGCGAATTGATCAGAACATATGAACGTACATAAACTTTTTGTATGTATTGCAACACAGACTGCACATAATGAACTAATGTAACATAGTAGGTTAGCTTCACGTGGGTGTTAAGCTTCATGGTTATGTATCTTATAGCAGCGCTTTGTGGGCTTGAACACTAATATGCCTTGTTTGGAGATATAAATAAAAAAAAAAACTAATAAAAAAAAAATAAACCTGTATGTACTGTATATAAGCTCATATATCTGCTTAAAAGTGTACGGTATGGGCCGTTGCATGAATGGGCGCTCTAAAATATTCCTAGTCACTTTTAAACTAAAGGCTGCATGTTCCAACATATAGTGCAGTTAATATACTGAGCAAGTATGCTGGTGCGTAGCATGGTATGCGCGCATATTGTTCCTGTCTGAAGCCTTGACATATCCATTGTGCATTGCAGCAATCATGCAATATTAGGTAGGCAAAGGGCATGAGCATCATCTGATAGATGCGTAAAGGTTGGCTATCGGCTATTTACTCAGGTAATTTAACTTAATCAGTAGTTGGCATGCAGTCCCTGCAGTATCATTGTAGTCACATGTTAAGGCCTTTGTTGTATAGTGCGTGTCGTTCAGTGACATCATGCCGAGGTATACGGTGTACGTATCAGAGCATATATAAAAAAATAAATAAATAAATAAAAACCCCATATATATATACACACAGTAAGGCAGGTAAGATACAGTAGAGTAGAAAAAAGGATTTCACCAAACGTAAAAGTGCAAGGCTGAGTATAACTTGTGCGGGCGCTGTATGGCAGTCTGTGGGAGGCCTCAGATGTCTCAGCTGTGGTGCAGTCCTCAGGTCGCCGCGCCTCTGCCCGTTTTTCCCACATCGGCCCCCACCCACCGGCCGGGTCTTCCGCGGTACTGTGGGCACTCAGGGGCTGAGATTGTCCACTGGACCCCACCACAAAGTCCGTGGCCTTCCCGCCCCTTGCACCTCCCCAGCATCACTTTGTCCCCCATGGAGTGGGCACCCCCGTGTCTCTCCCAGTGTCGGCCTCACACTTGATGCTGGTACACTAGCCCCCCGGCCACCGGTCCGTCGGCAGGTCAGCGCACTCCCGCCTCACGGGGCTCACAGAAGTGGGGACAGGATTCTCCGGGGACCATCTTTACCCGGTGATCGGGGTACTCACTGCTCCGGTCGGTGTGTGAGCCGTGCGGGTGTTCCGCCCGGCGCTCAGCGTTGTCTGGGCCTGCCTGAGCCGCCCATGTCAGTCCCCCATGTTAAGTTGCGCTGCAGCCCTCTGGGTGAGTGAAGCTGTATTGAAGCACCTCTGTATCAGTGTCAGTTCCCGATCATCTCATCCAGGCCCTTGGTGGGCCGTTTTTTCATGCAATGAGCATTTTGGGATCTGTATGTCCCTCTACCAGTGCTTTCTTTTCCCCTCTGTGTCTGTGTCTTCTTCTGCTGGCTTGCTGGTCCTTCCACAGCCTTTGCCAGTGTAGGCGGCAAGCGCGCACTCCACGTGGGAGCCCCCATCGTGGCGCGGGTCGCCGCTATATGGCCGGGAAAACCCCCGCCGGCCAAGGGGGGGAGGGAGCCTGGCGCCGCAAACCGAGCCTGGGGTGAGCCTCCACCCAGGGGTTTCATCTGTGCGATATCTCCCGCTCGGGGGTTGTGCCTCTTTGCGGCTTCTTGTTGCGTGTTGCGGCCGCGGGCGGTTTTGTGCTCTGCCATATGTAGGCCGCGCACGTCCTCTGTTGCTGGCCCGGCTTGCGATATGTTTAATGTCGGCGGCTGCGATGTGCCGGGGTCGCTCTCTGTGCATTGCTGTCGTGATGTTCGACTTTTAAGCAGCCAGGACTGGTTTCGTACACCTTTTGGCTTGGGTTAGTGCTGGAGCCCATGTACATGGCGTTCAGTCGGCCCGGCCCCGCCCCCCTCCACACTGGTTTTTCATTTTTAAATTATTAAGATGTTTATTAATAACACTAACAGGGACAGGTCTAAAACTGAATTTCTCTATGTTAGGAGTTTGCAGATTTAGCAGGACCTGATCTGCATTTGAGGTCTGAAAATTAGTGTCATTCGTTATCTTAGCAATCAGGGTGGCAGCACACCCAACAAAATAATTATTAAACTATATATATATATATATATATATATATATATATATATATTTGGGTACCACACCTAACACTGGTGTTTCTTTGAAAACATGAATAAATGTGACATGCATTTTCTAAGGTTAAAGTAAAAAAAAAGTTAATTAATCAGATGACAATACTCAGACCCATTGATAGATCTGCATTTTCTGACAATCAATGTTTACAAAGCCCTGTGAAATCAATGCAAAATGTTACCTTCAATCAATACTCTGAGGAAGGGACTACATGTTGACTCTTAAACCAGGGGCTTTAAAGAGACACTCCAGGCACCCAGACCACTTCTGCCCATTGGAGTGGTCTGGGTGCCATCTCTCACTACTCTTAACCCTGCAAGTGTAATTATTGCAGTTTTTTATAAACTGCAATAATTACCTTGCAGGGTTAACTCCACCTCTAGTGGCTGTCTACTAGACAGCCACTAGAGGGCACTTCCTGCATCATAGCACAGAAACCTGTGCTAGAGCATCGCTGGACATCCTCACGCTGTGTGAGGACCTCCAGCGTTGCTCATTTCCCCATAGGAAAGCATTGAAAAGCATTTTTAATGCTCTCCTATGGGGAGCTCTAATGCGTGCGCATTAGGTCTACCGGCTGATGGGCGGGACGAGTCTCGCCCACTAGCCGACGTAATCACTGGGAGGAGCGGCGGCGGAGGAAGAAGCAGGAACGTGGGACATGTCGCTGCCTCTAGTAAGTAACTGAAAGAGTTTTCACCCCTTCAGCAACCGGGGATTAGGGGGTGGGAGGGAGAGGGGACCTGCAGTGCCAGGAAAACGGATTGTTTTCCTGGCACTGGAGTATCCCTTTAAGCAGTGTCTGCAGGCTTTGATGACTTAAAATTCAATCCTGCAATACATTTATGGATTCAATTATTATTCAGTGTGTGGTTCATCCTGGGCAGAAACTCATACCCTTTTCAGTATACAGTTCTTCTGCCAAAAACGCACACCGCAGAGATTCAATTAAGAGTTTCTGGTCATGAGTCACAGCCAGCAAGGAAGAGCTAAAGTGTCCTTTAGTGGTTTTGATTTTTTTTTTTTGCTCTTATAGTTCACAAGTTTAGATTTTCTCAAACTCAGATGATTTATTTGCAGAGAGTAATGTTATACAAAAAGATAACTTGAACAAGGGATTGATTAGACTATGTTCTAGGTTTCCAGTCTACATGGAGTCTTGGGTCATGGTTAAAACAGCCCCCAGCATTTTATTTTAAAGGACAATGTTCTTCACATTTTATATTTTATGTAATAAAGTGATTCAAATAAGGTCAGCATCATTCCACTGCAAACTCTCACTGTGCATTGTACGTGAACAAATGATTAGTCATCTTGCTCTAGAACAATTACAGGAGGCGCTGTTGTGTTTGTTTGCATAAATATAAAATCAAAAGAAGTCTTCTGAAAAATTGTACTTTGCTGATAATATTCTGTAACTTGGAAACAAAGGAATAGTGATGTATCTGCACAGTCTGCTCAATATTAGGTGTGAGTGTATATCACACATGGCAATTTTTCTACTGCACTTAACATTTTAGAGCCAGACAATCCATTGTTCTGCTCTCTGCTATTCAAAGGACTAGACCTCAAAAAGGGGAGATGCATCATAAAAAAAACATTTCTGTCAATTAAGAAAGCATGAAGAACTGGTCATATAAAGTCTTGACGTTTTTCAAACTGGTTCTGTAATTGTTAAGATATTTTTAGAAATTAGTTTTTACCTGTCATTGAACTCAGCATGTTAGAATGATTTATTATAAGCCCCTACACAAGCACATTAAGCCAATAACCTTAATGCTCCCTCAAGTAATTTTGAATCTGAAGAACATATAACTAAGGTCCAATATCAAATGGATTGACATTTTTTTTTCTTGAAAAATCCACGGATGTAACCAGGGCCGGCCTTAGGGGTGTGCGAGCTGTGCAGCCGGACAGGGCGCAATGGAGCGGGGGGCGCCGTGCGGCCGCACAGCCGGCCTGGATAAAAAAAAGAAAAAAAATCGGGGCGGAGCTTCCCGTATGGAGGGGCAGAGCTAGAAGTGCCGGATAACTGCTGCAGAGGAAGCAGGAAGG